TGTGTGTGTGTGTGTGTGTGTGTGTGTGTGTGTGTGTGTGTGTGTGTAGGGATTTATTATAAGGAATTGGCTCATTGATAATGGAAGCTAAGCAGTCCTGAGAGCTTCAGTTTGCAATCTGGAGACCTAGGAGAGCCAGTGATGTGAGTTTCAGTTTAAAGGCCAGCAGGCTTGAGACCCAAAAAGAGGGGTTGTTTCAGTTCCAGTCCAAAGGCAAGAAAAGACCAATGTTCCAGCTCAAGCAGTCAGGGAAGAGGAGCTTCTGGTTGCTTAGCTTTTTATTCTGTTCACATCTTGAGTTGATTGAATGAGACCCACCCACATTAGGGAGAATAATCTGCCTTAGTCTGCAAACCCCAATGTTCATCTCTTTCACAACACCCTCATAGACACTCCCAGAATAGGGTTTGGCCAAATGTCTGGGCACCCCATGGCCCAGTCAAGTTGCCACATAAAAATGGCCATCCTGGCCAGGCCCCGTGTCTCACGCCTCTAATTCCAGCACTTTGGGAGGCCAAAGTGGGAGGATCGTTTGAGCCCAGGAGTTTGAGACCAGCCTGGGAAACATGGGGAACCTCGTCTCTACAAAATAAAAAATAATAACCTATCCAGGTGTAGTGGCACACACCTGTGGTTCCAGCTACTCGGGAGGCTGAGGTAGAAAGATCACCTGAGCCCAGGAGATTGAGGCTGCAGTGAACCATGATCGTGCCACTGCACTCCAACCTGTGTGACCAAGCGAGACCCTGTCTCAAAACTTTTTTAATGAACACCACAAACTGTGAACAGAAAAACAGGGAGCAGGGGAACTGTATAGGTCTTACATAGACAAAACCAACAGTTGTCCAATATCCATATGGTGGAATAAGATGCAGCCATTGAAAAGACATGGACTGGGCACAGTGGCTCACACCTGTAATCCCAGCGCTTTGGGAGGCCAAGGCAGGAGAATCACTTGAGCCCAGGGTTTCAAGACCAGCCTGGGCAACAGGGCAAAACCCCATCTTTACAAAAAATACAAAAAATCAGCTGGGCATGTGGCGCATGCCTGTGGTCCCAGCTACTCGGGAGGCTGAGGTAGGAGGATCACCAGAGCCTAGGAGGCTACAGTGAGCCGTGATCGCGCCACTGCACTCCAACCTGGGTGACAGAGTGAAACCCCATCTCAAAATAAATAAATATTTTTGAAAGAAGATTTGGTTAACTTTGTGTATCAGGCAGAAAGCATTTAACTTTTGTTTTAAACTTAGTTAAGCCTCATAAGAACCCTTTGAGGTGGGGACTATTATCATTTTACAAATGGAGAAATCATAGCAGATAGTATAGCTTGCCCAAGGTTGTACCGCCACCAGCAGGCTGAGCTGGCATTTGAACCCAGGCCATCTGGCCCCAGAGTTAATGCCCAGAACCGCTGTTAAAAAAGTATTAAGTGCTGGTGTCCAACAGGAGGTCTGGTGTGAGGCCTCTGGAAAACAAGAGCCCCTCCCCATCCACATATGTTACCTGGTTATTAAAAAAAAAAATGTGGAATGACGCATAAGAAACTGTTACTAGTGGTTATTTCTGAGCAGTGGGTTTTAGGGGCTGGGAGGAAATATGATGGCTGGTTGGGGTTCTTTTTACTTCACGTCGTTTGTACTATGAGCATGGCTTAGTTTTGTAAGTGAAAAATGTCATATCTGATGGAATGGTTGTTTTCAGTTATGCTCCTCATCTCCAATCTATATGGCTTCTCCCTGTGTCCACAGGTGACCTTGGCAGGCTATGGCTTCGCCTTCCGCTATTGCCCGAGTGGCAAACACGTGGCCTATGTGGAAGGCAGCAGGAGCCCTCACGAGGGAGACCTCGAGTTCATTAGCATGGACCTGCACAAGGGATGCGGTATGAGGCCAGGGAAGGGTTTGGGACCACGGAGACATGCTTCTCATACAAGGGCAGCTCTAGGAGTTCACAGCCAGAGACAGCAGGTGGCCACACAGGACAGGAACTATCCCCTGCCAGGACAGGGATCAGAACCACAGACAGCGTCCTGACCACTGTGGGGGGTGGGGGGGGGGGTAGCGGTTCAGCACCAAGGACAGTGGGAGGCTGGGCACTGGGGAGCCATGAGTTCCAGAGGTTGGGATTCGGGATCTGGTGCAGACTTGAAAGATGGGAGTTGCGTAAGAGTCATCCAGGAGGGGCTGTTGAGGAGGTGGTTGGCCACCACATCTGGAATGTGGGAGGGAAATCTGGGCAGAGGCTCTGCAGTATCTCGGGAGTTTATCAGCCAAAGCCCTGGGAGAGGATGGGATCATCCAGGGAAAGTGTAGAGACTGGGAAGAGGGCCTGGAGCAGATTTCTTGAGCCCCTCTTTCGCACATCCCTTTATATCATGGCCGTCCACATGCTTGCCACGTCCTCCCACCAGACTGAGCTCCTCCAGGGCAGGGAAGGTACCCCTGCCCCCAGCATCGGTGGTGGAAGGCCAGCATGGACAACAAGTAGTGCTTGTCGAATGCTTACACAAAGCGTTGTCTAAATTAAGCACTGTCTTATGCTCAGGAAGCATAAGGAAAATATACCGTCTGAGTCTCCTGGCCCTTCCCCACTGAGGCTGGGGTTGGTACCCATCCTCCTGGGCTCCCGTGTGTTCTCTGTCCTTTGTCACTCGGGTAGTCCCACGCCATAGCTGTCTCCCAACGAGGCTGTCATGGGCTGGGACCCGACGAGATCCCGGTCTGGGTTTTCAGAAATGAGCTGAGCCCAGCACATGGGTGCTGAGGATTGAATGAGTGCATGAATGAGAGAAGAGTGGATGAGGGTGACCTGAAGAAAGGGGCTGAGGGGATGGTTGGGTGAGAGTAAGTCAGAATGAGAATAAGAGTCAGCTTCTGGGCCGGGCGCGGTGGCTCAAACCTGTAATCCCAGCACTTTGGAAGGCCGAGACGGGCGGATCACGAGGTCAGGAGATCGAGACCATCCTGGCTAACACGGTGAAACCCCGTCTCTACTAAAAAAATACAAAAATTAGCCGGGCGCGGTGGCGGGCGCCTGTAGTCCCAGCTACTCAGGAGGCTGAGGCAGGAGAATGGCGTGAACCCGGGAGGCAGAGCTTGCACTGAGCTGAGATCCGGCCACTGCACTCCAGCCTGGGGGACAGAGCAAGACTCCGTCTCAAAAAAAAAAAAAAAAAAAAAAAAAA